AATCGTCGAGCTGTTTGACGAATTGGCTTAGCATTACCAGTATCAATTCTATGCTTAACAACGGTAGTTCTTCCCGTCTTTCCTCCTTTCGGTACGAAAATATCACGATACTGCCGAAGAAATTCCCTTAATTTCCTTTTCTCAATCTGATTCAGAGACTGTCCAGCAACTGCAACCATTTGATCAAATTTGTCGTTGGAATTATCAGACGTTGTCGTCTGACGGATTATGGATGTAACAGGTACACAAGTTCCTACTTTTGTCTCTTTCTTGATGGTCACTGGGTAGTCATTGACATTAATAAGTCTCACAGGAATTTCTTTAGCCGAAGTCACCAATTCCTTTCCAATTATGATTCCACGGCCAACTTCGTCGTCATGATTCCAAGGCTCCATCATAACAGGTGTTCCTTCGTCCACAATTCCCTGTAGCCGCGCTACTATTATCGTTTCACTTCTCGCAGGCACGACTGTATCTTCTTTAAGGGCTGCTTGCATAGTGTTGTCATCATGTGGATGGAGAAATACCTCCTCGTTACCAACTTTGATTACCTTATTCTTAAAATCCAATTGGAATCCATGCGTATTCATTACGTCCATTCCTAATATAACATCCTCTTCGATGTCAGCAACTATAACAGTATGGACGAACTTTTCTGTTCCAATTCCTAATTGTACCTGGATTTCTCCATGAATGTTGGCATTTTCACCTGTAGCGGTCAGCAGTCGCAACCTCGTTGGTAACAGTTTCTTACGGCTGTTTATAACTGTCGGGCGAATAATGGTTCTTGTCGCTCCGGTATCCACCAACAACGTATGCTTTTTACCATTTATTTCTCCATCTACATATACACTATCTTCACGACATTTCAAAGAAGCTATTAGTATGAGAGGGTCTTTGGTAAAGTTCTGGGTAGAAGCTGCCCCCCTAAGGCCGACCCGTTCTAGTTTTCCTGATGGTGAGTTTCTTGATTTGTGTCGTACCTAGGATGCTTACATGAACTTCGTACGTGTCCTATTTCGCCACAATTCCAGCATCTTATAGTCTTCGTTTTCTTGTATGTCATGCTTTTCATCATATTAACGAGCTGGTCAAGTTTATCTTCATCTTCTTCCTCTTTTACAGTCCTAACTTTACTGTAACCGCCAGAGGCCTGCGTAGCTGACTCGTATTCGAGGGCGGCGGATAAGACATCAACCAGCGTCTTGTGACGAGCTAATCGTAGTGTTCTTTGCATCTCATGATCACGAAGACCATCAATAAACGTTTGAACGGCCAACTTTTCCATCATGTCTTCGGGAGCTGTTGGATAAGCATATCGCACTAATCTGGCAATATCTACTTCATATTCTTGAAGAGCCTCATCTTTCTTTTGTCTTCGATTTTTGAGCTGCGACTGATATACATGCTCCAAGTGTTCGTGGCCATATCGCATATTTAACCTCTTCTTCAGTTGTTCGAAATCATCCGTCTCCTCTACGGCTATGGTCTGGAGCACATCTAAGGCATCTCCTCGAAGAGCTATAGTCAGGTTTACAGCCTTTTCTTTTTCTGACCATCCATTCGCTCTTGCAGCTTATTCGAACTGTTTCATGTAGTTGTTCCATGACGATTTTCCGTCGAAAGTTGGAACCTTGACATGAACATAACCTCCGCTTCCTTCAAATTTCGGCCGTGTTTCTAACTTACATTTCGTCTCGTCTTCTTTTATCTCTGCTATAATTGGATTGTTTTCTCTCTCTGCGGTCGTTGTTTCCTCCATCTTCCTTTCCATCTCTTTTATCTTCTCTTCGAAGGCCAACATATCGGCAGCAACTTGGTTCTTTAACGACGACACCCTATCATTGAGGCAGACATCTCAGAAGTGACTTTAGAGATGTTAGCAGAAACTTTGCTTTCCAGAGAAGAAATCTCGTTAGAAACTTTGTTCTCTAATGATGCGATGTCACCAGAAATTTTCGAAATATCGCCAGAGACTTTGTTCTCTAATGATGCGATATCACAGGAAACTTTGTTAATCGATGAGATGACAGCATCTTCAAATATATAAGTTTCCGGATCTAAACCCTCTTCCTCCAAAGCCTTCTTTAGTCGTTGGACTAGTTCAGTCTTTTTTCCGGTAGAAGCTAATTCTCTGTCTTCAAGATGCCTTCTTAGATTCGTAACTGTGAGCTCGTAAACCGTAGCCATTGTTCACCAATCCCACTTCTGACACCACTGTTAAATTTATATAGTTCTAATTTATTTGTCTTTATTCTAATTTATTGTCTATATTCTAATTTATTAAAACTCACGATAACTAATTACGAATTTATTAAAGTCTTTATTAATCCTAATTTACAAATAATTTATTTACGTTTTCGTTACAAGTAAATCGCGTTTCCCGATCTTCTTATGACTAACTCCTCAATGAAAATCTTCCGGTATTTATATGAAACCAGCTTGTAACAGAATGTTGTAGAAAATACGATGCCGTTCTCGATCTCGACGTAGACACGGCGGCGACTGGTCTTAAAACTGGTATGTTCTTTATCGGCTCGTCCCCAGAAAATTCGATTGTTGTTTGTTTAGCGAAGGGGACCCAAATGATGTCAGGTAGATTTTTGACCTAGAAATTACGAGAATCAATACAAAAGAATTAGTCATAAAATATTTACAGTTCTATACGCCATAACATTTAAAATCGTAACAATACGTTACGTTGATCTAATAACAAATGAAATAGTTTTACAACGAATAAAGAAGACCACAGAAATAACAAAAACAATTAAAATTCGAAAGTTACAATATTTCGGACATGTAATGTGACATCCAGAGAGGTATAACTTTCTACATCTCATAATACGAGAAAAGATCGCCGGAAGAAGAAGCCCAGGTAGAAGAAGAATATACTGGCTCCGAAATCTCAAAAATTGGTATTAAGAGACATCCGCTAATCTGTTTCGAGTTGCCGTAAACAAAGTTATTATTGCCAATATGATCGCCAACGTTCAATAATCGGAGAGAGTACTAAAAGAAGAAGAAGAACCTCTTGATGGAAGATCGGGATAGTTGAGAGAATCAGGTACATACTTCCAACGTTCAGAATGTGCTATAAAAGCATTATCAACAAACAACGAATATAAAATCATAATTGTACTAAAATTATAATCTACTGTCGGTACCTTGCCCATAAGAGTTCAACCTAACAAAGTTTTAACGGCTATAAGACCAAACTGTAACTGATAGATATTTCCTCCCTGTATACAATTTGCCCACACTTTCAGCTTCAAACAAAATCTCAATTGGTGTTGTTTGTCCAACATTTCATAAGATATAAGACCAAACTGTAACTGATAGATATTTCCTCCCTGTATACAATTTGCCTACACTTTCAGCTTCAAACAAAATCTCAATTGTTGTTGTTTGTCCGACATTGCTGAGCGAAAATGTCACTGAGTTGTTCAACCCAAGGGTCGTCATAAACAATAGAGACATCTGCACAAATAATTGGTTGATCTTGTCGCTGACCTGAACCCCCGGGAATGAGGGAAGGTGGTTCAGTCACTCTATTCATAGCTGTATTGAACCCATCGAGCAAAAAGACAATAGAGGGAATGTAAAGGTAGTGGGGGCAAACATATTGTTAGACAGGAAGTGCAATCTTTAGAGGCCACTTTAAACAAGGAAAGAGAGTCTCTCTCCTTGTTTGACATCAAATTTAGTTGGGTTATGTTATTGTTTGTCCCAAATGTCACATGAAATCTTATTTATATTGAAGTTTTTTAACAATTGTGTCGCATTTTAGACTCTTATCATTAATAATTAACTAAAACTTTCTCGTCTAAGACACATTCTGCGAAATATTATATAGCTACTGTTGTCAAGTGTCATGAAATTTAAATTTGGCGCATTTTCATTTCCGGATATGTCCGCCATCAGAGGCCACTTTTTTGGTCTCCTTTTCATAACGATTAGATTCCCTCTTTTGTCTTATTGCTCGATGATTGAACCGGAGAGGATAGGGATCACGGTCAGTGGCCATACAGGTTGTGTATGGACACTTAGCTCTTAGCTAGAGGGAAAATACCTTTTTAAAACGCACAGATAAACTTTATTAAACCTTAGAACAATAAACAAAGTATTATGACTAAGAATCTGTGAAATAAAATATTAATTATCTTAAGATTAAGAATCTGTAAGAAACGTGTAAATTAGTCTTAGAACTAAGAATCATCAAAGAAAAATTTCACAAGTTATTTTCGGGCTGAAAATACTTCAAAGTCCCTAAAAATAATTAAATCGGTAAAATGTTACAAGTCGCTGAAAGAGAACAATATTAGTAAAATTTTACAAGTTAAAAAGAATATATAATATATAATATTCTCGTTCAATCGGCTGTCCCGTCAAGCGACTTAGCGCACCTAAAAGAAAAGATTAAAACAGTAATATTTTACACCTCGCCTCTTAATTTAGCTGATAAGACGTCAATATGAAGATAGTAAGTGCATAACAACACCAATTTCGACAATTTCAGCGAACACATTAATCGAAAGGGACTATAAAAAAATATAGATGAATGGAGATACAATAAATTGTATCATGTTGATCATCCAAGAGATGTTAATTTTTGCTTTTCAAAAGGTATCGCATAGATAGGCAGACGACGATATCATTCCAAGAAGTGTCTCGTGCTTTTTTAATAAATTATTGCAAAAACGTGTTTTTTAATGTCAAGCTGTTTAATAATGTATATTATTAAATAAATTTTTATAAATAAATAAATATATTTTTTTGTAAATTTCCATTCCTTTGAATATTTACTAATTTAGGCAACACAATTTACAGACATGAATTATGGATAATAATGTCAACCCGTTGATGTATGTGAAATGGTTTAAATATTCATGTTTTCTGTTTCTGCGTTTATTGTCTCTTGTCATAGTTGCCGGCTTTCTCCGCTGGGAGTCGACAACAATTGGGGCGACCAGACATGCGCGTTGTAGTTCAATACTGCCAATGGCACTTGTGAGAGGCGAAAGTGCTTTTGTTGGTGTTTTCCAATAAAACTGGTTCTAAATAAATATTCCTAAATTACACAGCAATTTGTTATAAGTTGTGATGGGTTCATGTGTGCGTGTTTTCGGCAAATATGTCGTTAAATGAAAAGAAAAGAATATAACATATTTCGCAACAATTGTAGTTGATCGGATAACGCGGTGTTTCTGGTTATTTTACACGTGTGATTTTTAGTAGAGATGCCGGCATCAACCGTGGATCCCGTTAATGCTGCCCTCCGAACAGCATTATCAAAAAATGAATCCACCGAAAATAACTTAGACATACAATTAGCGGGATCTTCGAAGAAAGCCTTGCTGTCCAATATCGAGTTCGAGTCGGCTGGAAGCTATCATAATACTGTCCTGGACAGGCTAAAATCGAAATATATAGTGCTTCGAAGTCCCGAATCACCACCTCCAAGGTAATAAAAATAATTTTTAATAGTCAATAAATGAAAGTTTGGTTAGATGACACTTCTTCCCTCACTCCGGCAATGGAAGTACCGTGCACATGATATCATGAGTTTTCTAATTGAATCTTTAATTGTATTTGTATGTTCTTAAAATATAAACGGATATTATTTTCCGACGTACTAATTATCTGCTTTTAGCAGAAATGGTGTTTTTTTTACACTCTGGCTTAAAAAGCGCGAATATTGCCGAATGTAAATACCATCCAATATACAACATAATAATTGTAAATAACATCCAAGAATATAATGTAACAAATGAACTCAAAAGTAAACAACAAAAATTTATAAGTAAAAAATGTCCACTAAAAACCAGTCACACCAAATTTGTAGAATTATAATATTCTGTTATATGACCTAAAAATTTAGATAGTTGTTTATTTTTCCACCTGTGTTTATATTTGTGACATACACCTATAATATATAATATAGCAATAAAACTGTACTTTAGAACTAGTTCTTTATTATATTTTTTTACAAGTAATATAATAAATATCAAATGTATTTAAACATTTATTTTTTGTTTATTGATTTTAATAGGCTTCACTCAAATTTGGCTCTAAATGAGTCATGCACTGCTAACTTAAAAATATTTTCTCCTCATTAAACAAAATTGTTTACAAAAGCATTCATTTATATCAAAAATTAGTTGTTTATTGTAGCATATTCATTATACTTGCAAGATTCAATATTAATCAAAAATCTGTTTCTTTGCATCTATCATAAAATAAATTATTTATTTGAAATATATTTAACATATTTTCAGTTGTTAATAATGAAATATTTTCAATCTACTAAAAATATTTTTTTTAAACATACTTAATATTCTATAATTGTACTTATTTTTCGATTTGAACTTCTACATGTCATAAAAATTAGTTATCTCATTGGTTTATTGGTTTTTCAATGCTGGTTTAAATAAAAGAATTCCCCAAATTAATGTCATTGCAAGCAGTTTGAAATGAATTGGGGTTTGGGATTTGAAATTCATGCATATGAATACCACACAGCATTTTCAGGATATTGGAAACAAGATTACGTACCTAAACACAGTTGTGCTCTTCACTTTGTGCATGAGTCAAAATATCATGTTGTTTTGTATCACATTGACATCATATGGAAATTCAAAATATTAGCTGATTGATTGTTTTCTTAATTTGAAAGAAAAACACATTTCTCAGTAAAAAGTTTATATTGAAGTAGATATATTACAGAGTTTTAATTTTTTTCTCTCTTTGGTACTGTAATTAAATTAGATATTAACTCATTTAGGCCCATAGTTGTGTTAACGCAACATATTGAATGCATTTTTGTACATTCATACTGAAGTTTTTTTATAAATTGATCCTGATAAACATGTGGTGTTTGTTATTTTGTCTTGGGTATGCTCGGTCTATCAGTGGTATCTAATATTAATATGACTGTTATCAGTGTTTGGCTAAATTATCCCTTGAAGAACACAAAATCTATTGGAAAAAAGATTGCGGCTCTATGGATTGTCGCTATGATCAAAGTAGCAAAATAAAAGCTTTGTTGCTTATTTATTTTTAACTACATTCTACACTAATGACTGTTTAAATTTCTTTGCAAAGTAAATACTTTTTCGCAATATTTACACATTACTGCCATAGTCGCTAAGTTTAAAATTATTAAACAGAAACAATCACACAATACTGTACAATAAAGACAAAGTACAAAAAAGCAGTCTGTACACCTACATCTCAAACATAATCATATTCAAAAACTTGAATTTGTCTGTGAATAACTAAATTTATAAAAATCAAACTATCTAGGAAATGGCAAAATTAGAAAACACTAATGCACAAAACAGGAAGCATGACTGTGACTCTAGCCGCTCCTGCTGAAAACTATTTTTAACTACTTGGCTCCCTGTGTCACACCCTTAAATAATTTAAATCGAATTAAAATATTCCTATATTAATTACTATATACTGTGGAATAAGCCACAATTAAAGGTTAAAATACATTTATTGACTTTTATAGGAAATAAATTCAACATTTTAACAACATTCAAAACAACAAACACGTTGAGATCTATTGTGTCCAAAACCAAACCTAACAATGAACGAAAAAGGACAAAGAATTGCACTTATAAAATACCTTGTGAATGCGATCAGTTTTATTTAGGTGAAACATCAAGGCCTTTAAATGTTAGAATAAGTGAACATCAATTAAAAATAAATAATATTAAAAATAGAGAATTTGATAGATCTCAAATATGTAAACATGCATGGGATAATGAAAATAGGGTCCAATGGAATAATTCAAATGTAGTTCTAAAAGAAACTGATGGTAAAAAAAGAAAAATCAAAGAAGCGGCTCTAATTATGCTAAATGAGACCAATTGTGTTGCAAATTCCTTGGCAGAATGTAGTAGGATCTGGTTACCCATATTGAAGGAGGAAGTTATTAATAAAAAAATACCAGAATTAGAAAGTCAGTAACATATAGAGGATATATCATTTATGTTTTTTTAAATAACAAACATGTAAAATCAGAATTTGTTGTTTATTGAAGGTAAATTAAATGTACGACCAAATACTTACCATCTGGGGATGGTATTATGAGGTTTTTTTCCTGGTTTTCCCATCATAATTTACTATACAATCGCTAACAGGAGAATTTTACAGTTGTAAAAATATGTATAAAGTCATCTACTTTAAAATGCATAATGTATGTCTGAATTGTCAATATAAATGAGTCAGATAAAATTAAATTATTAGAAGAATTTTTCACCAAGTAACAAAAAACAAAATTTGTTTAATTTACTGTTTGCATTTTGAGAACGATTCCGAAGTGGAAATTGAAACGTCAATAAATGTATTTTAACCTTTAATTGTGGCTTATTCCCAGTTAAATAGTAATTAATTTAAAATGCCACAAGAAAATAGCTTCAGAACAAAATATTAGTAGTTATTTATTATTTATATGTTTCAGTAAACCTGAAGATGACATGAACTCCAATGAATCCTTAAAACTAGCAAAATATGAACTGTTTCCACTGAGTGATGTACAACTTGGTTGGAATAACTGCGATTGGTCTGTTGGTGCTGGAATGGTGAATATGGGAAATACCTGTTATTTAAATTCTACTCTACAAGCTCTCTTTCATGTACCCGCTTTTGTTAATTGGTTGATGTCAGACAAAGACCATACTGCTATCTGTCAAGATTCAGGTAAGTGGTATTTGCATTAATGTGAATTAAGTACAAAAATATTTAAAATTATTCCAAATTCTAAAAGAAGAAGACAGTTAAGATTTGATTTCACATACAATGCGTCTGTGTATCTGCTTATACATATTTCGCCCTAATAGGGCTCATCAGAACAGCTATTCACAGGCGTTCTGAATATGAAAATAAATCTTTTCTGTCTTAAGAAGCAACTCTAACATGGCTTCGTATAGACGCAAATGGCAACATCTGATATTAGAATCTGTAAACTAATTTTTGAAACCAGATTCAGATTTTTGCTTTAATCTGTGCCTTCTAAGAATTGCAAGGCAAAACAGACGTTGATAAAGATGTTAATAGAGACATGGGGAATCTAAAATTTGCATTCCACGACATATCTCCTCAAGTATCTCCAATATATCTCCAAAAATCCTTAGCGAATTGATTTCTTGTACTCATAGAGAGTATATCCGAATAAAAAGAAAAAGACAGTCAAGATTTGATTTCATGTACAATGCGTCTGTGTATCTGCTTATACATATTTCGCCCTAATAGGGCTCATCAGAACAGCTATTCACAGGCGTTCTGAATATGAAAATAAATCTTTTCTGTCTTAAGAAGCAACTCTAACATGGCTTCGTATAGACGCAAATAGCGACATCTGATATTAGAATCTGTAAACTAATTTTCGAAACCAAATTCAGATTATTGCTTTAATCTGTGCCTTCTAAGAATTGCAAGGCAAAACAGACGTTGATAAAGATGATAAAGAAATATGTATAAGCAGATACACAGATGCATTGTATGTGAAATCAAATCTTGACTGTCTTTTTCTTTTTATTCGGATATATTCTATGTATGAGTACAAGAAACCAATTCGCTAAGGATTTTTGCTTAGTTGAGGAGATATGTCGTGGAATGCAACTTTTAGATTCCCCATGTATCTATTAACATCTTTATCAATGTCTGTTTTGCCTTGCAATTCTTAGAAGGCACAGATTAAAGCAAAAATCTGAATTTGGTTTCGAAAATTAGTTTACTTGTTCTATTCCAAATTCATTCAAAATCAGTGCTAGATTGCTGTGACGACATGAAATATGATTTCAAATACCGGATTTTTTTCAGAAAGACAAATAGATAGTATATCAATAGGTTTTTTGACAATATATAAATTGGTATACTGGCAACAAAAGTTAGGTTGAATACTGTTAGTTGTTTAGTATGGTTTAAGAGAATTTTTAAATTGTGTCTATAATTCTCTAGTGTTGATGTTTAACAATGAATTATTTTAATTTAATGAATTTTTTACATTAGCCAACTTAGTTTTTAACAAGTTGCCTGCCGTCTAGGTCTATGTGACAGAGAAAAAATTGCTCCGCACGCCAGCGAGGTCTATTTGACAGAAAATTTTAAAGTAACTGTGATGCCATCTCAGCGTGAATGGAAAGTAGTACAAAATCCTATATGACAGGCAACGTGTTAACTAAAAAACTTTCCTTCATTTGTAGAAAGCATTTCTAGTATCTGCATAAGAAAAAATCTTTAAAATAAGTAAGGAAACTGTTGAACTTCTGTCAAGATATAAAAAACGCCATTGTTGTTGATTTTACTTAACAAGCATATCTATACTTCATCTAATTTACTTACTGTTGCACGTCATCCGCGTCATAGTCCGTGAGGTCACATGATGCCAACACAAAATATTTAGGCGGTAGGTGTGTTCTTTTTTAGAATCACTTTGCAGAGTATTTTGGCATTACAGCCACTAGACATATTTTATTATATACGCATAGAAATAATATTTAATGATTTCTATTAATGTTAACTTAAAGAAACACACAATAATATGTTTCATTTAATTTGTATAAATGCATTCTAAAATGTTTTTATGAAGAACATTTGTTCGGAACGCACTGTAACTGTAATCAAATGAAGGTGATATTTTGGCATAAATTGGTAACACTTATTTGACAGTAGCGGTGTTGACACTTTTTGTACTTTATTATTTTGAATTTTAAAGTGAATACCTCTTGTTTTATATTTTTACCTATTTAATAAAATCTGTTCTTTTTAGAACAAAATTAGTGTGTTTGATTCCAAAAATGTCACATAGGAATTTAAATTGTCGTTGTAAAGAGATGGTAATACTTTTGCAATAATTATGTGACCTATTTGATTTTAAATGGATTCAGGATTTTTTATACTTTGGAAACTATGTCAACTTCTATCTCTGTCAATGATAATGACATGCAACAGTAAGTAATTAGATGAAGTATATACACTTTAGTACTATCATCTTTCTAAAGCCAGCATCACAGAGCTTGTGAAAAGAAGAGAGACCACTGTTGACACCCCATGTTATTGTAAAATTGATAAATATTTACTTTTTGATAACTACTCCAAGTTGGGTAATTTATGCAATGATAAAAATTCCAACACCCTATCATGTTGAAAGGTTTGATGGGGTATGTGCTATATATCAGCTTGCAAATTCCTTTTATACTGGAACAAAGGGGAATGGAGGCCTGACCATAAATATACATTTATTTCTATATACTTTTGCTATATCCCAAAAAGAGAGATCATAAACCACAAATATTGTGAACAAAAACAGTATTCCAGGTTGGGTTGATTCAGGTTTTTTATATTTTTTCTTTTTCTAATATTTGTTTTCTATTTCTCTATTTGTTTTTCTAAAGTCTGTTTTAGACTATAACATACAATGATATAAGAAAATGGTATACTAAGTTTTGTCATAATGTAAAACAGAAAACAAAATCTGTTAACAAAAAATGTTATAGAAATTAGAACATGTTCTATTTTGATACCAATTATTAGTATGCACGCATGCGCAGTTACAATTTTGTATCGTGTTTGGTAATATCTTCTCGAATCAGTTCAAGAAGTTCATTAAATTGTGGCTTACACATTCTTAAAAATTGTCTATATTTTTCAGAATCATTGTCTTTTAATTCAGTTTACAACATACTTAAAACAACACGACCTTCCTGTCTTTTTGAAGCCCAGCTCTAGGCCACATATTTCGTTGGCCTTTTTTCTTGCTTGTCTGAATTAAAAGAAATGTCGTAATGGAAGCAGCAGATAATAGGAGAATTTTCTTATCCATCATAAATATATGCCTTTGTTAAAGCAAAAGTAAAACGAGGGTAAAACTAACTAGGTATTTACGTGGCTAAAAAACTAGGTTAAATGTTGGAGAAAATGAGGTTTACGTTACAATAACAAAATGAAGAATAAAAAGATTGAGGTTAACAGTACATATACAACAACATAATAAACAATAATTTTAAAAAAGGACTGTTTTAGCATGTAATGCGCAGAATCACATAACATATTTTGATACCAAAATGTGACAATGTAATACACAAAACTTCTTATATTAATATTGTACACGATCATTTCATGTAAGTTCTTGTTATACCATTTTCTTATATCATTTTATGTTATAGTCTAAAACAGACTTAATGAAGAATGCTGCTCGAAATTTCATAGACAAGGGATGTACTTGTTCCCTTGTTTATATAATTTCAAACCTTGAATAATTTAATAATAAACACCCAGCTAAGCTGAATTTTAACTAGTCTCTTATAAAAATAGTAGTACTGTAGGCATAATTATCCAAACCCTGTGTATTGTTGACTTGAAACATTTTATTTTCAATGTTATTCAGCAAAACTAATAAGTTACATTTTAAGTTTTTAAATGAAACATTATAGGCATCAGAGATGTAAGTATCTTTATTGAGCATTCAATACATTGATTTAACTTTTTAATACACCCTATATGTTTTGTTGAGTGTCATATTTCCATAAGATCCATATAAAATATTATTCCAGAAATTAAATTATAAAAGTAAATACTATAGGTAAGCTAATTTTACATTAATTTGAAAATAATAATCAATAATGTTATTGATCATTTTTTTTATCAGATATGAAAGCCTTGTATTTTCTTGAAATTACTAATTTATGCTTAATACTTTTATAAAAAATTACCTGTAAAATACCAAAACACAGAGAATAATGTGATTGCCATATAGATTTTGATTGAGTTGTGTTTTGGTGATAACCTTGATATTATATTATGCATCAAAAATGTAGTAATTACTTTATTGATAAAGTTCTTAATAAGTTTTAATCAATAATCCTGGTAATATACTCAAAGTTCCTATTATTATGAGCCAACAGTTGGCACCAGTATTAAGTCTAATAATTTGATTATTTTAACCATTTTTCAAATATAATAATATACATTTGTTAAATATAATTATGAACTGAATTACTAGTATCTTAAAAATTATGCTTTTAATTACTTATATAAAAAAAGATGATCATGAATTCAATAGAGCTTCTACTTACCTAGAAGAACCGTAAGAATATGAGAAGAATACTTGATAAATTCAAATTCATAAAGGAACATGTGCTAAATTTGAAGATGCTAGAATTTTTCTTTAAAGAAAAATAAAAGCCATAAGAACATGCAAAGGGGGAAAAGACTTGTTTAACCTAAATTCAACAGAGTTCTTTTTACACCAAGAGGAACATAGGTACAAAGCTTCAAAACTTCAATGAGCAACATCCTTACAACACAACACAAAGCTCTACAACCTTTTCTTCAAGATAAAGAAAAGACAACAATTTATTAATATTCTATTTTGTGTTATTTATATTATATTAAAATAATACAAATAATTATATTTAACACTGGCTCTACCTGTTGACGAATCATTTGCCAATTATATGATAGCACTGGTGCCACCTGGTAACAGATCTTAAAAAGCAATATTTTCCCAGGTATAGATTTTGTTTATTATATTATATTGGACAATACTTGTCTAATATATCGCTGTTCCGGAAGTATAATGACAACTGTAAAATTTTTAAAAATGACTTTATTGTGTTGGAGGGAGCAAAACTTCATTTTGCTATATATTTGTAAATCATCATAATTGTACTTACGAATTTCGCCATGACCTGTGATTT